ATATATATATCTTTTACTGCTGCTGCTGCTACCGTTGACAAGTAAATTTCTTTAAATGTATTTTTTTTTTTGTGTTAAGCGCTTGCTTCGGATATTTTCTTGCTTGCTTTTTACAATTTACAATGCACAATGCAAATTATCACATATTTTGTTTTCTTTATTTTCCTCCTTTTTCGCATTCCTGTCATCTCTATCTTTATCTTTCTCTACCCATGCACATTGCGCGGCTCAAATTCTACTTTTTACAATATTTAAGTATTTCTTTGAAGCCAATTCAAATTTTATTATTTTTATAATTTTTTCCTCAGCTTAGAATGATTTGCATTTAGTTTATATTTATTTACTTTTTTTTTTTTTTTGTGTTTGCTTTTGTTTTTTGCACAACTTTTGTCGAGCGTTAAATAACATAAAACAGTGTATTCAATAAACAAAATGAAAAATTTTAAAAAATGGGAAAACAAATAAATAAGATTTTCATCTTTTGTTTTTCTCTCTGTGGCGCAGCAGCGCTCTGTTAAATAAAGAATGAAAACACTCTGCGAAAGCCGACGTTAACAGTTGGCCAGCCGCAGCCATAGGCTGTTAACGCAGTCTATTCATCTAACAATGTCTGTCTATGAATGTGTGTGTTGTGTGTATGTGTTTGGATGATTTTGTGTGAAGGTATGTGTGTTAAACAAATATCACAATCGAGAAATTAACAAAATGGCGGCTGCAGCAGCGCTACCAGCAGCCGCAGTCGCAGTCGCAGCTAACAGCACAAAACGTTAACAGCAGAGCTTCTCCTCTTGCTCTTCTCTCTCTTTTTGTTACTCACTTGCATTTGCTCACTCTGCTCTCTATTTGTTTTGAGCTTTTGTTTGTAATACTTTTGGTTTTTGGTCTGCTTTTGTTGTTGTTGGTGGTGTTGCTGTTGTTGCTGCTGCTGTAACTGCTGCTGTTGCTGCTACTGCTGGAAGGGGGGCGGGGGCTGCTAACGTTTAACTTCGTCTCGGGCGACAAAGTTTTTTGTTGTATTATTACTTCGACATTCCAGTGCCCCTGGACAGTGGGCCACAATAATAAAATTACGATTAAAACAAACTAACAAACAGCTTAGGACATCGGTCCATTTGTGCTGATGGCTGCGACGCCGCTGCCGCCGTTGGTCGCTGGCTGTGCTGCTTCGACGACTGTTGTGATGGCTGCGTCGATGCCGCTGCCGCTGTTGCTGTTGCTGCTGCTTCCGTTCTCTGTGCCGCTGCCATTGGCGATGATTGTGGACGGCGCTGTTGACGCCGCTGGGCTGGTGGCCGCTGCCGACGCCGGCGTCACTGCTGTCACTGCAACGGCTGCTGTTGCTGCCGGCGGCGCTGCCTGTATGGCGGGCGTTGCTGGCGGCGCTGCGACCGCTGCCGGCTGCTGACTACCAGCAATTTGTAGCTGCATCTGCAACTGCTGCAAGGTCTCCGGGGACATATTTGACTTGAGTATGTTATTCTCCAGCTCCAAATTGGAGATCTTGTCCATCAGCTCGGAGATGCGCTCTTTCAATACCTCCACCTCCTCGCGCACCGCTATCATCAGGTGCGACTTGACCAAGTCCTGCAATAAGAAGATTATGAAATTAGTAAAAGAAAATACAAATTAAATTTACGCTAAGTTTACATGGTTATAATTGCCTAAAATGTTAACTGTGCCGATCATCTATGTTAAATAACAGGGCCAGCTCGCTCTCGCTCTCTCTGCTGCTCATGCTGTGTTAACATAACCGGTTGCTGTTATTCTCCCTACAGTTATCGATAACAGAATCAACTTTGGCGCTAAGGTTCAATTTCTACAGAATGGCGACAAAATCAACGTAAAAACTCATTCATTATACCGCCTTTCATTGCTGTAGCGTGTTGCCACACAATACATATACATATATTTCGTTTTTATGACTAAATGTCAATGCCAGCAACATGCCACGCGTGTTGGCAATGCTCATGAAAATTTAATATGCCCATTATATGGTATGGTGGGCGTGGTTGGAGGCCATCTAAATACGACAGATTTTCAACGAAACAAACGACTGTCTCTGCCTGTTGCCAACTCGCTCACACCTTGACTGTGTGCTTGTGGCACGTGCAACACACCCCATGCAGCCAGGTGAGTGCGTTTTCTGTTTAATTTGAAATGTTTTTCCTTTTCTGCTGAAAATTACGTGTTCAAACTGCGACGAAATGTTGAATGTACAATATATATATATATATTCATATTCA